CGGGCATCGTACAACATTCTGTTAACACTGGAGATGCAACACCTATTCGTCAGGCCCCCGTTTCACAAAGAATCTTAAATCCGTAGACGTCTTACTCGAGCTGGGTGGCCTAGCTACAGGGTAGGTCGACTTAGCTGAAGTCGACTTGGAGTGTTTCACAAAGAATCTAACGTCTTAGCTTGATGAACTTACCGAAGTCGACTTGGTTCACGCGCGTTCGTCGCTCTTGTGGTATTGGAGGTTCAAAGTTGCCGTTGTTTTGATCACGTGACCCACGCTCGCTGCTTCGTACGACGTAGGTGAGTTTTTATTTATGCAGCTTTTATTTTGATGAAACGAAACTAAAAATGGCATTATCGGCATTGCATTGCTTTGAAATGAATAGAAAAGAGTTATATTGACTATGTTTATACGAATTAATTGTGCTATTTTGTGGCATTTTACATTTAACAAATTAAAATGAAAAACTGCTTAAATTATATGAGGGTAAAAATTGCAGGAAATACAGTATGTGTAAGTGTGCGCTCTTCACACACATAACTTATTTACTCTAATAATTATGTTCCATTTAAATATTACGAGACACTCAATAATATTTAACATTATAGCAAATATATAAATATATAAAAAATATACTTTTATTGACTTTTGTAAATTATAAATAAATATATATTAAACAAATAAAAAAAAAACATGACATTTTAATTGTTCCTTCTCCTAGGTTTGTCATTGAACAAAATGGTAAGTTTAGTTTAAGTTCTCCACTCAAATGTTGATTGCTTTATTTTAAACTTTTAAAAATTTTAAGCAGTTATTTAAAAGTGGGATCATTACATTAATTGAAAATTATTTATATTGATTTACAAATACATATATATATATTACAGTGTTCTCCACAACTTGAAATTATAAGGTGGGGGAAGAGCAGTTATGGTGAGGGTCTCCGGAAGCGAGCACCAAAGGCGCTCGCCATGCTAGAGGGGTCCGGGGTCCCCCGGGAAAATTTAGAAAAATTGGTGCAAATACCTGCATTCTGGGCAATTTTAGAAGTCTAAAAGGTCATTTTTATGGTAAGAGAATTCATCATTTCTCTAATGATAACTATGATCATTTTGTAGATGTTCCTGTGTCAAGTTTTACTTTATATAAACAATAGTCATGGCTCTGAATTAAACTGGACTTTTATTTTTGAATAAATCTATGAAACATAAGGCATTTCACATTGTTTTTATGGCTTCATTGACATCAGGTTACATTGAAGTAAAGTTAATAAAATGCAGTGCACTTTCTTCATTAAAAAGTACATGCACTTCAGTGCACCAATGAAAGCCTCTTGGTTTCCACAGACACCACATCCTGCATAGCAGCTGCTATCCCTCCATCTACCTTTGATTGTCTGTATTCCACCTCCAAACTGTAAGACACCTGATGCATGGTGGACTGTTCATGTCTCTAATAGTGTCTTCTCTGTACGTCTGGCACCCAACTTTGGTCCAGATGTCAGTGCCTTTCTTGGACCTTTGACCATGGCTTGAACACCAGGCACAAAACATACCTGAAACAATGCATTTCTATGGTTAAACAATGGTATTTGATGATTATGTAGCGTTACATAATAATTTAACAATGCAACGATCTTCCGTCGGACAGATATACGATAGCATCGACGTTGCTGCCTTTGCCCTGCTCTAAATGACTGTGAATGAACTTTTATTGACATTTAAATTAATAAATGGGTTCAAAGTCTCGTAAAGCTTCTCACATTTTAAAAATAATCTAATCATTCCGGATTAAAAACGTATGAATACATCATCTCATTGGGATTGCTCACATTCAAGTGGATTGCGGGAAGGGCAGGTCTAATATTCAAGACTGTCAATCTACTTCCTTATACAAGCATAAAGGCGGGGTAAACGGAGCACGTGACAAAATCAGCCTATCGCTATGCAAGACTACTTTTCACAAACGTCATTCATGAAGAGCACATGGTCGAAACTGGCTAAAACTGCCTACGTGATCGGTAAATGTACAATGTATCTTTTCGATATATTAGCGGCCACGTTTTCTTGTAATACGAAAGAAATACATATGTATTAAATCAACATCCCTGACATTAAAGTGATTGGTTTGGTTTTATTTTCCAGTTGTATATAGATTCCAGTAAGTAATGAGGTAACAAATGCAAGATATGGTGAAATTTGTAAAATTTTATAACGTTAATGATGAATAATGTAGTCAACTTACCTTCATCGGGTTTATGTTGAAGCCATGTATACTTCTTCAACCACGGAGCGTAAAACTCCGTCCTATGTTTGGGTTTTTTAGGTGCTGGTTCGCTGGTCGTTTCGTCATTTACCTGTATGGATGTATCCACTATTTTGTTTGATGAATGTGACTCTCCGCGGGTTTAAAAAAAAGACGTCAACGTGCTCTGCTTTGACGCCATGCTTAGAGATCTTACGTGTTTCTATATTTAATTTTTTTTTGCATTAAAATTCTGTGATAGTCGGTAGATAAGGCGGGGTAAATGGAGCACGTGACAAAATCAGCCTATTGCTATGACTACTTTTCACAAACGTCATCCGTGAAGAGCACATGCATTGGCTACAACTGCGTACGTGAGCGGCAAATGTACAATGTATCTTTTCGATATGTTAGTGTCAAAGGGATGCAAAAACGACAGTCAAGCTATGCAAGTTCAAGTTTAATATCTCACTTTTCTACAAGAAAATAATCTGAAGGTCTGCTCATTGCTCAAAATAAAGGTGGCGGGCCGTTTACATAAGGTGGCGCAAAACTCAATAAGGTGGCGCAGCGCCACCTAAAAACAGGTCGTGGAGAACACTGTATATTGTACATATATAATAATATTTAACAAGGTCCATATATGTATTTCTTAAGGAAACCACTAGAAAACCAAATTTTAGCAAAACAGAGGAGATCATTATAGTTGAGGAGTTTAATAAGAGAAAAGCGGTGTTGGAAGGGAAATTTTCATCAAAAATTACAGTGGCAGAGAAGAAGAAGAATTGGGAGGAGATAGCCTCAGTAGTGAACAGGTACAGAGACCTCTTTTTAAGTTATCCTGGCCTGAATTTCAATGACTTTTTTTCTTTCTGAAAAAGCATACTTCTTTTCTATTATATATATATATATATATATATATATATATATATATATATATATATATATATATATTGCTTGTAAATTTGTGTAACTGTATGTTTTGAAATAAATGCTTAAATTTTGACAGTTTCGACTTATAAATTATAGCCAAAACCCATTTGTCATTCGGGATGGGCTAGAGATCAGAAAGAAAATGAAAAACATTACACAGAACGGTAAGAAATTTTGTGCTGCAGCTGCATGGGTCACTTACTATACAATTAAATTGTGCAGTACCTATTTTCATTATTAAATTAATATGTTTACTAATTATGTTCCTTTAATGTTAATTTATAACATTTCCCATAAATATCAATATCCTATTAGTTGTATTGGTTACTTGGGGTAGTTGTCTAAAGAAACATTTTTAATAAATTATCCTTGCTTGTAGCCAAAAGAAAGAGGGATGAAACTAGGAGGACTGGTGGAGGCCCTGCTGTGACCATATCCACAGCTGAGGACATGGTCATGGAGGGCCTCCATGGTAGGCCCTCCGTGGATGGTTTAGAAGCTGGAATTGAATTTGGTTTCGAAGGAGAAACCAACTCAGTAGGTAAGTACATTGGTAAATTCACAATAAAAATAAACAATGAAATGTTCAAAGCAAACTCCAGTAACATTTTCTATTATTGCTTTTGTTAATATTTAATTATTAACTGTTATGTACTTATTAGATTAAAGATAACCACCATATTCAAAATTTAATATTGTAATTTTGTTAATTAAAGACTATGCTGCAGGACCCTCAAGTGGTCACACATGTAAGTACAACTTTGATTATAATATAAATTACATACATAGTTTTAATTACACTTTGAGAAATACCTGCATGGATTCTATTAGTAGGATTCTTACAAGTAATTTCAATAATAACAGCAAAAGAAATCTTGAAAAAATGCTTATTTTACTAATTTCTCATTTCTTTGTTAATAGTACAAATGTTTTACCTTTTTGTTTATAGTGGAATTTGAAGAAGGAATAGGGGACAATAACAATGTAAGGATCAATAACATTGTGAGATGTACATGATTGCAGCTTGTGGTTTTAACAATAATATCAATGGAAATATATTTAATACATACATACATAATGGTGTATATAATCTAGCATGTGTATGTAACATATAAATGGTTTAATTTTCCATAATCATGTTGTTATTTTCATTTCTTAGGCTGCAGATGAAGAGTCCACACCATGCAGATGAAGAGTCCACACCAGAGGTTTGCAAATTACATTGTTACTTGTCAAAACTGTGCAATCTAACTTAATTCTATTGTCTATAGATTTTATGATAATTTTTTTTTTAATTTATAGTTTGCATTGGCTTATGGTAATTGAAATGCAGTAGTAACACAAACTTTCACATGTTTCAACTTTATTTACAGGAAGTTGCTGAAAATAATTCAGTAGCAGAAAAACCTGTAAGTGATTTTCAAACCTCAATCCTCAAAAACTAAAACCATATATATCATTCGGGTAAAACATTGTTTGATCTCTTGTAAAGTACTGTCACTTTCGGTTAATAGTGAAATATTATAATTAATTCTGAAAAATACATTTATCTTTTAAAAAATTGTTATTGTTTCAACAAATTTTCTTTTTTAATGTACAGGTTCCAAACAAGAAGGACAGCGTAAATGACTTGTTCAAAGAATATTTAAGGGAGTGGACGGATGTAGCTAAATTGAAAAAGAGAAGGCTGCAGTTGGAGATTGCCTCATTGGAGGCTAATATGCATCAACTTTAAGGTCAGTGTATTAATGATTCAAAACAATGCACATTTTTATGATATAAATGCAGCTACAGTTATGTCAAAGCATATAGTTTTTGGGGTATATCCATCTACATATTTAACATTATGAGAAATATGCTCGTACAACTCCATCTCGCATGGCGAAACCATCATTCTGAACTGGTACTGGTGGGGGTAGTTGGATTTGATTAACAATTTGGGGTGGTGGGAAATTATCATTTACTCTTCTTGCAATGTTATTCAAAATCACACAAGTGCTAATTACAGTTATTGACCTTTCTGGTGTTAAACGGAGAAAATTTAGACAAGGGAATCTGGCCTTGAGAATTCCATTGGTTTGCTCAATTGTAACTCTTGTCCTACAATGGGATCTGTTGTAATTTGTTTGTGGCCCAGGTGCTGGGTTGTGAAAAGGGGTTAGAAGAAATGGGCGACAGCCATATCCACTATCTCCTAAAAGGAAACCACAATGTGGAGCTGAAAAAATTAGAGAAATTTATAAATAGAAATTACCAAATGTACTGAATACTGCTCTTAATGTATAAATTAAAAATCAATTAATAAACCTGTGCTTTTAAAATAAGTATATTAAATATATGTACATTTACCATTTTCTAAGTGCCTGCACAAATTGGACTGCCTAAATATTCTTGAATCATGTACAGATCCAGGCCACTTGACCACCATGTTGGTCACAACAAAGGCATGATCACAAACTAACTGAAAAAGTATGGGGAAATTATATATATAATGTGTGTAAAATAATTTCATTTTTATTACTTAGCTTTGTGTAATGTATAATAAAATGTGCAAAGTGTTTACTTTTTATTTACAGCTGAAAACCATGTCAAATGACCAGAGAAGAGTGCAAGGAAATGTGGAGAGTTAAAAGATTTAAGTGCCAGTTTTCTTTAAGCACCAGACAAGTGCGGCAAGGTGGGGGTTCACAGAATTTGACCTTATTGGGCTGAAATACTTGCCTGAGGACCCTATTAACTTCTGCTAAATGTTATGCCATAAAACTGTATATCAGGGGATTTATGCCCAATTTTCTGTTTTTCCAGCTTTCGCAGCAAATTTTCAGTCATCATAAGACATTCAAACTAAAAATATAACCCACCTTGTCCACACTGTACCCCCTTTTTTTACCCCACCCCCCAAAACTAAGTTCACGCATGGCGATTATCAGAGGGTCATATACCCACTAGTAGAAGTCCTATGGCTGTCAAACATGTATGGGTTTGTAAAGGAACATTGAACATATAAAGTACAAAAGAGATCCTTGTGGCCTTTTCTTTTGTTGGCGATATATTTTAATATTAAAATATCTGAAAATTGTGAAATTTGGGTGGGTGTTGCTCTTGTCTTGGCCAGTAATACCTGCTTAATTACTCTAATCACGGCATAATTGAACAATAGGTTTTACAAGAATAGGCAATAGCCCTATAACAGAGCCTACCTTTGGTGGTTAGAAAAACTTGCACTTAAATTGAAATTGTAGTGTTCCGATAAATTTTGTATATTTTTGTGCAAAGTACAAGTATTAAATTGTTAGTGTTTTTCAGCATATTAGTGTATATATATTATAAATGTACATACATGTTTTAGTGTTTGAAATTTTGTAATTTATTGAATTATATTTTTATATTGGAGAAAGGAAAACATTTTTTCAGAAAAGGAATTTGTAAAAATACATGAATTGTTAAAGTTTGTTATATAAAGTTATTGTTATTATTTTTTCACATATTATTGTTACAGCAAGTTTTATTATATTTTAGATTTTAAAAGACATTTTCTCTCTATTTAATCAAATGCTTCATGAAGCAGTGTTGTTCATTGATGTGTTAGTGAAATCAGTGAATTTACAAAAGTCAATAAAAGAATATATATATATATATAATTATTATTATTATTAATTTATGATTTTTTTATAATTCTCAAAATAATGTATTGGATATAAAATATATACAATAACAAATATACTTTTTCGACAAGTCAATAAAACAAAAAAAGTCATTAAATATTTTACCTGTACATTTAGGCTGTGTCTGCCCTTTCTGTTCACAAAATCTGGCTCCCTAGCCCCAGTTGGTGCCAGTATATGTACGTGAGTACAGTCGATGGCACCTATTACATTGGGCATTCCTGTGAAAAAATGTTGAATAAGTTATGAAAAGAAGTTACCAAATATATATTGATGGCCACTTGACCACCAAATGCCGGGTTTTGAATCCAAATACTTAGCTTTTCTTGCAACCGCTCTCCCTACTAAGCTAACGTTCCACGTTGCCCGCCTTTGTTTACATCCACTAAGCACAACATGACCTACTTTATATCTGTAGGCAATTGTTTTAGGTGAGACGAGTGCAATTCTAAGCGCCCTCTATGTTTTCGAACGCTGTCTAATGTAAATAAGGTCAATTGAAGGTTGTGCACTTACCGGCAAGTTGGAAAAAACCCCTTCTTTACTTCTTCAAGTCGCCTTCCATTAGGAAACTGTACGAACTGTCCTGCAAGACGTGTTATTTCCACAGTAACTCTTCTTACCACTCTGGACACAGTTGCTTTGGATATTCTGGGGATTGTATCCCCAACAACAAACATAAACGAACCAGTGGCTAAAAATCTCAAAGTAATCAATAACTGAAATAGTGCCGGTATTGAGTGACTTCTATTGGTTGGAGGTTGAATTGTATTATTGATAAATTGAAGGATAAATAAAATAGAATGTCTTCTAAACCTAAAACGCTCCCTCAGCTGATCGTCATTAAAATAATCTAAAGGATTTTCACGGTCTCTGAAGACACGCTCTCTTCGAAGAGCCCGACGATGAAGATTTTGGACAACTACGGCAGCGGCCATTTTGCTGATAGCGACGACTTAAGTCTCCTCCCGAGGAGGCTTGACATCGTCGACTTACAGCTTAGAAAAAAACGACGTAAGCGACCTTTTAGATTCTTTGTGAAACGGGACTTAGTGACGTAACGACTTAATTACGTTGGTAACCAAGCCCTAAGTCAGAGAACCCGACTTAAGTTTTTTTGTGAAACGGGGGCCCGGGATACCGAAGGTTGCCTAGATCACAGCAAGATGAAGCTGATAAACATGTGCAAGAGATGTTAGAAAGGGGCGTCATAGAGCCGTCTGCGAGTCCGTGGGCATCACCGATCGTGCTGGTGACCAAGAAAGATGGGTCTACACGAATTTGTGTTGACTTCCGGAAACTGAACTCTGTCACCATGAAAGATTCGTACCCTCTCCCGAAAATTGATGACACATTTGACGCACTGTCGGGGACAGAGTGGTTTTCTACATTTGATTTGGCCAGTGGCTACTGGCAGGTGCAATTGGATGAAGATGCCAAGAGGAAATCAGCGTTTGCTGTCCGAGGCGGGCTTTTTCAATGGAAGGTTATGCCATTTGGGATGTGCAACGCGCCAGCCACCTTTGAACGACTCATGGAGCAAGTGATGAGTGGACTCCACTGGAAAATTCTCCTCGTGTACTTGGACGACATCATAGTCTTTTGAAAAACGTTCGAAGAGGAGGTAGAAAGGGTCAAAGAGGTCTTCCGTCGTCTCCGAGAGGCCAAGATGAAGTTGAAGCCAAAGAAATGCCACCTGTTTCAGTCAGAAGTGAAGTACCTCGGTCACGTTGACTCCAAGCACGGGGTTAGAACAGACCCAGACAAGATCGAGGTGATAAAGGAGTGGAAAACCCCCGGAACGGTAACGGAAGTTAGAAGTTTTCTGGGGTTAGCGTCCTATTACCGGAAGTTCATAAAAGGGTTTGCCAATATAGCCAGACCCCTACACCGTTTGACAGAGAAGGGAAATCTCTTCCTATGGAATGAAGAGTGTGAAGACTCTTTTCAAGAACTGAAGCAACGACTTATTTCTTCCCCCATTCTTGCTTATCCAAGCATTGAAGGTCGCTACATATTAGATACAGACGCCAGTAATTTTGGTATGGGTGCAGTGTTGTCTCAAGTCCAAGAGGGACAAGAAAAAGTTATAGCCTATGCTAGCAGGGCCTTCACAAAAGAAGAACGAAACTACTGTGTCACAAGAAAAGAATTTCTGGCAGCAATTCATTTCATGAAGCATTTTCGCAGCTTCCTGTATGGACAAGATTTTACTTTGCGTACCGACCATGCAGCCCTGACTTGGCTCCTCAGAATGAAAGATGCCGAGGGACAGTTGGCCCGGTGGATACAAGTAGTAGAAGAGTACCAACCTAACCTAGAACATCGAGCTGGAAGGAGTCATGAAAATGCGGATGGGCTATCCCGTTACCCTTGCCATCAGTGTGGACGAGAAGAAGAACCCAAACAACAGGGCCGTGTGATGAAGAGACGCTGGATTCGCCAGGATCAGATGCACCCTCAACCAGCTCACATAAGAAGTATCTCCATTGCCCCTTTGGTGAAATTAGAAGAGATGGCTGAGGCCCAGGGAGAGGATGCAGATATCCGACCAGTTCTAGTAGCCATGCGTAAAGGATCTGGACCATTAGAGTATGGCCAGGAACCATGGTCTCCAGCCATCCGCACCCTTGTAGCTAAATGGGACCAGTTGTCTCTAGAATCTTGAGTGTTATGCACAACAGAAGAATCAAACGATGGATCGGTGACAAGACCCCTAGTGATTGTCCCTAAGGTATATCGAAAGATGATCCTGGAGCATTTCCATTCGCATCCTACTGCCGGTCACATGGGTGCAGAGAGAACATTAGCCAGGATACAGGAACGATACTGGTGGTATGGTGTAGCCAATGATGTAAGGTCCTGGTGCAAAAATTGCAGAACTTGCCAAAAGCAACAGACATATGGAAGAAAACCTAAGGCGCCATTACAACAGTTTTTCGTGGGAGCTCCTATGGAACGGATAGGAATGGACATCTTGGGACCATTAAACCAGAGTAACCGAGGTAATCGAGTTATCTTGGTGGTATGTGATTATTTCACCAAGTGGGCAGAAGCATTTCCATTGCCAAATCAAGAGGCCAACACAATAGCCAAAGTCCTAGTGGAGGAGGTCTTTACAAGGTTTGGGACACCTGGCAGCATCCACTCTGATCAGGGTAGAAATTTTGAGTCTTCAGTTATGCAAGAGGTCTGTGCCATGATGGGTATAAACAAGACCAGGACCGCTCCCTTTAACCCCAAGTCAGATGGCCTTGTGGAACGCTTCAATCGGACCCTAATAAACGGCATAACTAAGTTTCTAGAACCCAGCAGGAACCAGAAGGACTGGGATGAGAAGATTCCGCTTTTCCTAATGGCATACAGAAGCTCTAGACATTCCAGCACTGGCGAAACGCCCAACATGATGATGCTGGGAAGAGAAGTAGACTTACCCGTCCACGCAATGATTGAAGAGCCACCCTCGGCAGATCAAAACCAGACAGATTACGCATACAATCTTCGAGAAAATCTGACAGAAGTATGGAGGAGAGCGACGGAGAAACAACAGAAGAGTGCTGTAATTCAGAAACGAAATTACGATTTAAGAGTCCACGGAGACGTGTTCAAGAAAGGCGACTTGGTGTGGTACTGCAATCTCACGAAGAAGAAAGGTGTCAGTCCAAAGCTTCAACCCAAGTGGCTAGGTCCCTATGAGGTCGTGGAGAGATTGTCTGCCCAAATTTATCGAATACAGCTGAATTCCAGAAGTCCACCTAGAGTAGTACACTACGATAATTTGAAAGCATGTTACTAGGTGGACGTACAATTAAAATATAAATTCTATTTTTTGTCACGTTTCAGTGCCCTTGCTGACCTGTCGTTTATGCCAGGCCTCTTTTACTCAAAGAGACAAGAAGAGGAAACATGAGCAAGAAATCCATGCATTCTGTAATCTGTGCCACAAGATACTGATAGACAAGGACTACCTGGAAAAACACCTGCAAAAGCGGCATCCTCTACCCACTGTACAAATTGCACGCATCAATAGCCCCTTGGTAGTGAAGGTCAGCCTGGAAGAAGAGGCATCTTTGGAACAATCACCAGAAGAGTCAACACCTGCGCTAGACCCACCTGCAGTGAAGGAGGAAAAAGAAGACGTGCAGTTAAACCAATACTACCCAAAGTTTACAGAAGACCAGCCCCTGGAGGGAAGAACATCAAATTCTCAGATCCCCCAGAGTCACCTCCCACAGAGTGGACAGATGAAGAAGAAGATGATGATGAAGACGACGATCCAGATGATGAAGAGCCTCTGAGACCCAAGAGGTTGATAATTGTTAGAAGAATTAAGTACCCAGATGGGAGATTTGAACTCCGAAAGGAGTATCACTTTTGAGAATTTTGTATGAAATTCTGAATGTTATTAAATAATTGAACGTTTTCTTTTTGGCTTCTGTTGTTCCTGTGAAGAAACTAATTTTGATTCGGGAGAATCAATTTTAAAAGGATGGGGGCAATGTAACGAACGGGGCTCCAATAGCTCTACACCGATGCCGACAAAAATTTACCAGTCCAACTTTAGTTGCCGTTCTAGAGCCGTTTAAAGACGAAAAGATGCCAAATACCCCATGATTTTAAACAAAGAAAGAAACGTTAGATTTGTACTGCTGTACGGGAAAGAATCAACAACGTCGTTCCAACCGTGTCGACGTGCCGTCAGAAAGTGTGACCACGCGACCTGCGGTCATGACGTCAAGGTCGCTATAAATAACCGCTCAGCTGATCGTTAGCGGCGTCTTTCAAGTTCTTCAAGTTGAAGCGGGGAAGAAAGAAAGTATCTTAGAGTGACAGTCATAAAGCACAAGAGAGAGACAAAAAGTGAGTGAAACGGGCTGCGGGTAGCCCTCGGGCTACCCGACATAGTCGGGAAAAATTGTGAAGAATTTTCTTTTCGAAGATTAGTCTATTTTTTTTTGTAGTATTTTGGCTGACAGTTATGTCAGCTACATGTACCGTTAGTTTTTAGTGAGTTTCTTAACGCAATCCTGTAACTGCATTCACCGTGACGCGCTCCGGAGGACAAGTGGTGGCTGTCAGATCATGGGATCCCTTGGTTGCAGATGTTTAGGATCCTGGCCAAGGAAGCCGCTGCGGCATGGACGATTTTGGGTGAAAGGCTGATCGGGTCCAAGACATCATGTAGGAGGCGTCGTCGACAGCTCGGAGCTGAAGGGAAAATGCCAGCCCAAGTGCGCAGTGTTCCCCCATGTATGATCGGGGCAGTGTTATGTTCTTATTTTGTTTTAGTTCGGTCCGCCAGACGTGTCCCTTTGCATGCAGCTACCGGAAAGCGAAAAGAGACAGTAATGGTGAAGGACGTCCTAACCCTCGATCACGGTGCTCCCCTAGGAAACCTCCGCTC